TGTATTCGATAATACTTCAAGATTCTCATTGAGTCCTCAAAGGCTCATATAGGTGTTGTATGTTTGTAGGTAGGTATACCCGATTTGGAGCCTGAGGAGTGAAGTTGGGAATCGAGCTTGAGAATCGGAAGGAGATCATATGGAGGGGTTGTGGATTGTGTTGGCTCTTAACATAGTTATGTGGTTTTATTTGTATAATATGTTTGTAAAAACTTTTGATACGGGTTTAGGTATTTTCTACCGTTCGCTTCCTCCGATCGGTGGAAATTACTAAAATACAATATGTGTAATAATAATTCGGATTACCCTCTTTTGGATATTTAAATCGGTAATCCATAGTATTTTGTAAACAAAAACGAATTTTTCTAACTATATGCATGTACGCTTTTCGGCTAGTAATTTCTTCGTGCCTTGTCTTGATGTTTGAAAATTATTTTCATATATGTGCTCTATATAAAAAATCATGAAATTTTAGAAATCTCTGCATCTCTCTGTTCTCATCATTTTGATAGGTATTTTGCATGAATTGGGTAAGTATTTAATTAGTTATGAATTATTTCTCACTACTGCACTAAAACAGGGTCAGTCTATTGTTTTCTACTATAACTGGAGTTTTACTGACTCAAATGCCTTTTTTCTACTTGGAAAATGTTTTAAACTTATTTTTCTTCCTTGTGATAAAATTTGGTAGTTTTTGCGTCAATGAAGAATTTATTATGAATTTTCAAAACTCCCTCCTCTGTTCTGGATTTTAAATTGAGTGACTGTGCCATTTTATTTATTTCTCCCAAATGGTCAAGCATATTTCAAAATTATTTTAACTGAGTGATTAAGACCCATGTTAGATGATACGGTATTCTTTTGGGGTCACTTGCATGAGTATTTTAAAAGGAATTGATTTTTAAAGTTTCTGCACTGGATCTGTCCGAATTTTCATTAGGTCCATCATACCTAGTTTATTTTCTAGTCTTGCATGTAGTATGTATTTGTGTTAATTGATTTATTAGGGTTTAGTATAGGGTGACCTCTTTCCCTCTGATTTAAAAAGAATTTTTTTTAGGTAAATCTATATCCACAATAATCATTTTTAAAAAGTCTTCCGCTGAGATTACATATAATAAGAGTAATCGAGAGAGGGGTGTCACAACCTTGGATGGTATCAGAGCAACGATCCCGGAAATCTCCATATGACCTAAAGATCTTCACGATTCTCAAAGCACGACTTCAACTGAGCACTCGGGCAGGTATATGTTTTATGTGAAATTTTATGACTAATGTGAATTGTTTCTATATGTTTAAGTATTAAAATGTCGTGAGCAAGAACTCGAGCTCAAAATGCCGCTAACGATTCTCACAATCAATCTCGTACCATCCAAGACCTCCCCGCCCTCGTCCGAGAACAAAATGAACAAATTAAACGCCTTGTTAACCTTCGAAACCAAAACCATCCTCCACCTCCCCCACCTAGAAATACAGCCCCACAAGCCACCTACGAGCGATTCTTGAAAATGCATCCTACCGAATTCCACGGCGGCCCTAATCCAACTGTTGCCGAAGAATGGATCGAATCCCTCGAAGTTATCTTCAAATACATGGTGATGAACGACAATGACCAAATCCATTGCGCACTATTCTTGTTGAAAAACGAAGCTCGAAATTGGTGGAAAGGCGCAAAGAGTGGGATCGATCTAGCAAATACCACTTGGGAAGCTTTCAAAGTTCTTTTCTTCGAAAAGTACTTTTCCAAGAATGTCCGAGCACAAAATCTTAAGGAGTTTTTCGAACTCTAACAAGGAAACCTAACCGTTGCCGAATTCACTCGCCGTTTCGAGCAAGGGAGCCTCTACGCGCCTTTCATATCCAAAGACGACACCGAGAAAATGAATCACTACCTAAGGGGCCTCAACCCGATAATCAAGCGCAACGTTCGACTAACCTCTGCTTCTACTTTCCGTGTAGTAGTGGATAAAGTTTTGGAAGCCGAACAAGATGAGATGGAAATCCGACAATGGAGACCTCCTCACGATGACTCTTCTCGACCATGGAAGAAACCGAACCTCAACAACGCCAAAGGAAAGCAACCGATCAACCGATCAACCGAGCGACCGTGACCCCGAGCAACAAACCCTTTTGCCCTAAATGCAATCGAGAGCACTCAGGCAATTGTGTTGCCAGGACCAACCATTATTTTTTATGCAAGAAGCCCGGACATATGGTTCGAGACTGCCCTATCGCCCTGAGACAAGTGCCGGGACGAGTATTCGCCATGACTAGAGACCAAGCCGAAGCCGACCCGTCAATGATCGCAGGTACCGTTAATGTGTATAATAATTCCGTGTATGCCCTCATCGACTCCGGATCAACTCACTCATTCATCTCAAGTACCCTCGTTGCCGAACTCTGTCTAGTTCGTAGTCAAGCCGATGCCTTGTTTAGCATACTTATTCCTTCCGGTGATGAACTTAAATCCAATTTTAATCATCAAAGATTGCCCTATTAAGATTCGTAACCAAACCTTAGCTTCCAATCTGATCATCCTACCCATTAAACATTTCGAAATAATTCTCGGAATGGATTGGTTATCAAAATTCGACGCCCAAATTAATTGCGCTCACAAAACCGTTCGTTTATCCTTATCGAATGGAAGTTTTCTCGAATTCCGAAGCTCGTACAATCCGTAGATTCCTATCATTTCCGCGATCAAAGCAAGAAAACTTATTCAAAAAGGACACCTATGTCATTTGGTCGACATAGTGGAAACTCTCAACGAAGATAAAGCCGACATTTCCAAAGTGCCAACCGTTTGCGAATTTCCCGATGTCTTTCCCGAAGATCTCCCCGGTCTTCCGACCGATCGTGAAATCGAATTTGAAATTAATTTGATCCTCGGCTCCGCTCCTATCTTGAAGGTACCTTACCGCATGGCGCCATTAGAGCTAAAAGAACTCAAAGACCAAATTCAAGATCTTATCGACAAGACGTTCGTCTGCCCTAGTTTTTCTCCATGGGGTGCTCCGGTACTTTTCGTGAAAAAGAAAGACGGAACCCTCCGAATGTGTATCGATTACCGAGAACTCAACAAGGTCACCGTAAAAAATAAATATCCCTTGCCAAGAATTGACGACCTTTTCGACCAACTTCAAGGCTCCACGGTCTATTCCAAAATCGACCTCCGTTCCGGATACCATCTATTGAAAATCAAGAAGAAATATATTCTGAAGACTGCGTTTCGGACTCGTTACGGCCATTACGAATTTGTAGTGATGTTGTTTGGTCTAAGCAACGCCCCAACCGCTTTCATGGATCTCATGAATCGAATCTTCCGCAAATATCTCGATCAATTTGTGATCGTATTCATCGACGATATCTTAGTGTACTCAAGAAATGATGAAGAACATCACAATCATTTGGAAATGGTGCTCCAAACTCTCCGAGAGAACCAACTCTATGCGAAGTTTTCCAAATGTGAGTTTTGGTTAAGACAAGTCCACTTTCTTGGTCATGTAATTTCCAAGGAAGGCATAGCCGTCGATCCAAGCAAAATTGAAGTCGTTTGTAATTGGTCAATTCCTCGGAATGTCGGAGAAATCCGAAGTTTCCTCGGCCTTGCGGGCTACACTCTCTCGTTTGAAATCCGAACTTTTCCAAGATAGCCGCTCCACTCTCTAGTTTGACCCGAAAGGATGTATAGTTTCCAAGAACTCAAGAAGCGATTAACCTCGGCACCAATCCTCGCTCTACCCGATAAAACCGGAAGCTATGTGGTCTATAGTGACACCTCCAAGCACGGGCTCGGAGCCGTCCTAATGCAAAATGGGAACGTAATTGCATATGCCTCTAGAAATTCAAAGACTACGAGAAGAATTACCCGACGCATGACTTGGAACTCGCGGCAGTCGTGTTCGCCCTCAAAATTTGGAGACATTACCTCTACGGCGAAAAATGTTCGATCTTCACCGACCACAAAAGTCTCAAGTACTTCTTTACTCAAAAAGAGCTCAACATGAGGCAAAGAAGATGGCTTGAATTAGTCAAGGACTATGATTGCAAATACTTTACCATCCCGGTAAAGCCAACATTGTCGCCGACGCTCTTAGCCCAAAATCCATGTCCGCCTTTATCATTAAACCGCCGCTCGAATCAACTATTAAGTCCTCTCAAGACCATGATGATCAAATTTTCAAAATCCGAGAAGGCTTAGCAACCGGTCAAAATCTAAATTTCTCGATGACCGACGGTAACATCTTGAAATTTCAAGGGAGAATAACAAGGGAGAAACTCGGTGGAATATATTTATGCGTTGACATATGATAATAACTCCTCTATGCATATACTATTGGAGCTGAAATAGGCCTTCTCCTCTCTAGTTATGGTCGACAAAAAATGATCATTCACAAAATTGACACTTTCATTAGTCAGTGCAAGAATTGCCATGCCCTCGAAAATAATGAGTGGATATGTTGCTCACAAAATCGGGATAAACAAACTCGATAAGATCCAAAAAGAGATCTGCAGAATCACGAACCAACATGTCATCGGGAATTTCAATTCTAGAGTCACCATCATTGACCTCACCAGCATCGCCATTACCGATTCTCAATATCCACTCCGCAAATTCTCTTATTTCGTTTGCATTGGTGGAAGAGGAGGACAAATGAAGTCTCATGTTCTTGTTCAACTTCATAACCTTACATAGTCTACACAACGATAATGAATTTATTGTAGCATGAACAATGTCTTGTCTCGATTCTTTCAACACAACTGGCAGAATTTGCCGAAAGTCCCCTCCAAGAACTACAACCTTGCCTCCGAATGGCATGTCTGAATCAAGTATTGATTTTATTGTCTTGTCAAGTGCTTCGAAACAGTAGATGTGCATCATCGGTGCCTCGTCCTATATGATATATTACCTTTGCTTTAGACAACAATTCTGCCTGTGGACTTTGTGGTTTGATGCTGCATGTTGAGCTCTCATGTACAATTATTGGCAGTCAGAATCTCGAATGTGCAGTTTTGCCACCGGGAAGTAGAAGCGAAGCAATGCCACTGGAAGCAACATTTATAATTGTTTCGCCTTTTGAACAGATAGCAGCCGATCAATTTTTCCATATGAAAGTCTTTCGCGTTCCTCCATGCTCATAAAGAAAGAACAGTTCACCTCTCTTATTTGTAACAACATCCATGATATCATTAAACACTTTTTTCTGCTCATCAGTAATGGATGAAAGGTATTTCTTAAGTTTTTGACGCATTGTATCAACGTCATAGTCCAGCTTGTCGAGAAATAATTTGTTTACTGTGGCGTCCATCATCGACCCATTCGGGATCGGCATTGAGGGAAAGTTACTCAAACTTTTGATGTTGATTTTTAATATGTTAAGCGTAGTTTCTCGGAGCATCGTCGGACACAGGTGGACCTTCAATATAGTTTAATATGAAAAATTAACACAATGTGGCTATTATAAAAATATATACTTTTAATTCAAACATTTGTAGTAAATTGTGAAACAATATAAGTCGTATTGTCATACCTGAATTGGTACGACGTTGTTGTAGTCCGTACGTACTGTCCTCCGCCAATTTCTTCCAGCAACACTCCCACACATATTCCGTTATGCTCATATTATTCGCAACTAAAAGTACGACAAAGAATTGTCTCACAAAGTGACGATTGGCCCAGTCGTTTGCCTCCTTTATGCCAGTTATGTACTCCTTATTGTCGTCTAACAGCCCCAACGCAAAACACGCATCTTTAAAAATTGTGTAAACGTGATCCTCAATTCCCCTAAGATCATCGTAACACGTGCAAAATAAGATTATTATTGTGAGAAAGAAAGAAGATTATGATATCATTTACATATATACAGTGGCGGATCCAGGATTTTTGCCAAGGGGGTTCGAAATTGTAGAATAAAAAATTAAAATATCACTTTATAAAAATAGTGGACCAAAAATTTATAATTTACAAATTTTAGGTGAATTGTGGAAATATTTAAAGACCAAAAAGTTGAAAAATGTTAAGATTTCAAAAAAATTCCATTATTGTGAGGGTGGGTTTCGAACCCATGACCTATTAATAAAAAAACACATATCTTAACAACTTCAACCAACTGCATTTTCTCTTATTTTATGTATAATAATAATATGTACTGAAAATCAAGGGTGTGCAACTGCACACCCTAGACCATGGCTACATCCGCCACTGCATATATACAATAATAAGATTATTGAATTGTTGTCCAAAATCATGTCATCGTGAAGTTCTTCATCGTGAGCCGAAAATCTTGCAACCCTTGCATGTCATCGCAATTTAATATTTTATTACAATGTTACCGGTTATTATGTACACAATGATGATATCCATGTATATACTACATCAAACAAACAAAAAATAAATAACCCAAATTAAAAGAAAGCAAACAAAAAAAAAGACGATCCAAACAAAAATGTTGAGTTGGTCAATAAATTACAACAATACAATGAGTCAATGACACAAGATTTATTCATTGCAAAATATAAAAATCATTCCTTCAAAAATATTTAATATGTAAACTACAATAACAAACAATAATGCTTTACTTAGTCAATAAAAAACACTACAATGAAACAAAAATAAGAGCGTAAAATTTAAATGAAAAGAATATTGACATCAATAATATAATTAGAAAAAATCAACAAAAAATAAATAGAAAAGGGATATATAAAGAATACAATATTGACAAAAATAAAAACAAATGAAAGTGAATAACAAACAAAAAATAAGAATGACGAAATTATCAATATTTAGCAAACAACAATACATTGGAAAACAATAAGAAGGAACAATAATGCAAAAAGAATATCAAGAACAGCAAAATAAGAATGAAATCCAACAAATTTTTTTTTATCAAGAACAACTAAATATTGAAATGAAAACAAAAAAGTTAATGCAAAATAGAAAATGAAAACAGAACAAACAAAAGAAAAATTATGTGTGTTGGGGCTTGCTATGTGAATAAATGATTGAAAACAATAGAGTATTTATAGTGTTTAGGATGTGGTATAATAAGATTTTTCAGATTTTGATAAATTAGGAAATTATATTGTTATTATTAATATATTGTGTAATTAATGTGGAAGAGATCCACATTGATTAAATATAAATGGATAAATTATCAAGCTTTCCATGATTTGTATACTAAAAATGATATCATAGAAAAAATGCAGATTCTTTGAATGTAAATTGAAATGTATAATTTATTACAAACTAATGATTCCGTCGGTTGAAAAAAGTGGATTTGGTGGAGGAATAAAATTTATACTTTAATAATAATATGTGTAATCAATAGTACATTACATGTAAAAATAAAGTTTGAATAAAATATAGGGGAAATTGGCTAGACACCCCTAATTATAGACTTATATAGGTGGAGGTCCATTCTATTAGATGAATATAGCTATAAGTCCTTAGCCCAATAAAATTAATGTAAATTAAATTAAATTATTAGTGTATAGACAAAAAACACCCTCCTCAATTAACAATTAATTTTATATGAAAGTGGTTAACAAATCCCACTAATTACTCTTCCTCTCTCAATCCACTCTCACGTGCCCCCTTCTCTCTCTCTCTCTCTCTCCTACTCATTCTCTCTCTCCCTCCCCAAATATACGCCCCCTCTTTCTCTCTCCCTCTCTCTATTCTCTTTCTCCTCTCTCTGTATCTCTTTCAATTTAATTTTTTTAAGTTAACTTTTATTTTTGTTTCTATTTTTTATTTGAATTTCATTCCATAAATACCAAAAAGAAATTGAATTGCAAAATAAATTAGCAACATGAATAGAAAACTGCAAACTGCAATTTGTAATATTACATTTTTTTTAGTGTTATTGTTTGTATATAGATTATGCATATCATATTGTTCAGTTTGTTGTTTGTAATTAAATATATGTAGTTTGTTGTTTACAATTAAATATAAACGATGCATAATCCATATCCTACACGTAATTTGACATTGATTCTGTGAACGTCCGATGCATTTAATATTGCTTTTCCTTTCTTCGATCGTGTTGAACAATGACTTGATCATTTTTTTTTTTGCAGTGGATGTTGAATGTGAAACAAAAAGAGATAATGATTGTACGATACAAACAACAAATGTAATAGTTGCTAATATTAACAGTCGTTAATTACAAATTGCAAATACAAACAGTGAAGGCAAATTGTACACGAAAAATGATAAAGAATGAAGTACAAACTGTAAATTGTAAACTCGCAAAGTTATTTGAAACGACAAAATATGTTTGTAAATTCGATGTCATGTTCTTGGTTTTTCTTCATCAATTGATCCAGGGTTGCATTCAGATGTTTAACTTGTAGTCGCTTCACGGATTGAAAGTGCCTTGCTACGATGCCATCCCTCGGTTTATGACTGCTTTTTTTAAACGTTATATTCATGCCGGTGGCGCCGCTTTTTACCCCAAAAATCAATTGGCACTCAATAGGGCTTAACTGAAGCTCTTTTCCACCAATTATAAATCGACGTTTATTTTTGTCGTACGTCACGAGAATTTTATATATTTGTTGTACAGACTTACGGACTTCCTGCGTTGGGATCTCTCTCCTCATAAACGGCGGTATAAATTCTGCAAACGCGGTCCTTTGAACACATTCAATGTGACGTCCATTAAAATTATATTTTTTGAAGAAGCGGACAACAGAAACGAGTGTTGCACGATATTTCGGATTTGGAACTGCTGGTTCTATTGCCTGCTCAACTGGTGCCCTCAAGCTAGGTGCTATTGATTTTGTTTTCACTTTTTTTGACGATGTTGAACCGGCATTTAAAGGCGTGTTCCGTTTCTTTCCCGCGACTAGTTAATTTAAAAAGAATGATTATACGATATTGAACAACAAATGCACGCTTTGAATTCCAAGATGCAAACTCATAACAAAAAACAACAACAATACTAAGTACGAAATCATAACAACAAAACTACTAAGTGCAAACTCATAATAAACAAACATTGATTGAAACTACCACTAACGAAACTCCTCAAATATGCTATGTGCAACTTTAAAATGCAGCCCATAGTTGGTTATTGTAATTTCAATTTACATTTTTTTTTTGTTTTTTTTTAGTTTATACAAACAAAAGCATGTCTTATTTTCAAAATAGGCTGCCATATGCAATATTAACCCAACTACGTCCGAATCAAAATTTTCAGGAAATGAGTTTTTTGCAAATGAAAAACGAATAAATGGGTTCTTCAAAGTACCAAAAAATATAAAATCAAAAAATTTATTATTTGAACAAAACTGGTAAAATGTGGAACTCCAAAACGAACATATTGAAATTCAACTTGCAAACTCATAACAGAGAAATGCAAATAGCAAAGTCAGAACACATAATTAGGTTCTTCAAATGTATTGTTTTAGAATAAACATAACCAAAGTCGTAACATACACAAACCCCTCAATTTACCTGATTTCGGGGATTGGAAATCATCATCATCCTTTGCTGTTAAGGGGAAAAAAAGGGTTCTCAAATTATTATTGAAATATTTGAAATAAATAGCAAACAAACTAAATACAAAAGGATCATTGATTACCAAGACTTAATCGTGTTTTGGCCATCGTATGAACTCCAAACAACAAACCCTAACACCAGCCGTTGATTCCGAGCAACAAACAATTTGTAAACTGCAAACAAAACGAAGTCAAAGTGGGCAACAACAATTTGTAAACTGCAAACAAAACGAAGTAAAACTGCAAACGACAAACACCCAAAACGACCTGGTACCCAAAACGACCTGGTAAAACGACCAAGAACCCAAAAATTGAACAGCAAATTGAACAGCAAATCGAAAACTGCAAACGACCAAATCGAAAACTGCAAACGACCAAGAACCCAAAAAACGAAAACTGCAAACTGCAACAAATCGAAAACTGCAAACAACCAAAACACCCAAAACTGCAAACGACCAATAACCCAAAAATTGAACAGCAAATCGAAAACGAAAGACAAAATGCAAACGGCCTGGTAAAACTGCAAACGACCAAACACCCAAAAACCTCTTGAAGGATTCAAAATTCGTGGTGAGATTTTCGATTTGAAGAATAAGGGGAGAAATCGAATTCAAGATTTTTGCAATTGGAATTTCGGATTTGCAGTATAATAGGGA